TGCATGGTTCAAAATTGGGAAGGGTGTACACCAGGGCTGTATCCTGTCTCCATACCTTTTCAATCTTTATGCAGAACAGGTTATCTGGGAGGCTGAGCTCTATAGAAATGTGGCATCAGGATTGGAGGAAGAATCATCAACAGTCTGTGTTATGTAGATGACACTACCTTGCTTGCTGAAACTGTAGAGGACCTGAAGCACTTGCTGTGGAAGGCCAGGGACTGTAGTATTCGGTATGGATTGAGACTCAATATCAAGAAAACAAAGATTCTCACCACTGGGCCGACTGGAAGCATCATAATGGATGATGAAGAAATTGAGATTATTCAGAGTATTGGTTTTCTTGTCTCCATAGTCAACACTCTGGGCACCAACAGCCAAGAAATTAAAAGACGTGTTGTGATGGGAAAGTCTGCAGATAGAAACCTTTCTAAAGTGCTGAAGTTCAAGGATGTCAGTCTGGAGATTAAGGTGCACCTGATACAGGCCATGGTCTTTGCCATCACTTGCTATGCGCTGGAGAGCTGGACAAATGACTATGGTTGATAGAAGAATTGAAGCCTTTGAGCTGTGGTGTTGGAGAAGATTTTTGAATATGGACTGCTAGGAAAACAAACAGTTTTGTCCTGGAGAGGGTGAAGCCGGGCTACTCTTTGGAGGCAAGGATTCTGAAGCTTCATCGGACATACTTTGGACATGTTGCAAGGAGGGACCAGTCGTTGGAGAGGGACGTCATGCTTGGGTGGGTAGAGGGTCAATGCAGGAGAGGAAAACCTTCGATGAGATGGATTAATTCAGTGACTGGGATATTAATGGGGGCTGGTATGTCGGAGATGGTGAGGTTGGCACACGATAGGATGGAGTTTAGGGATGTAGTACATAGGGTCACAGTAAGTCTCAGGCAACTCGTAGGAACATAACAACAACAACAACAACAACGTCAAGGGTGTGCCAAATATGATAATGGTTGCCCATTGTGGACAGTGTGTGGTGGAGCTTCCCGATTAAAACAAGCTTAGCGGCATCTACTTCCAAAATGGCTTGCCTCCAGAAATTCTATGGACATGGAGAAATGACCAAAGTTATACAAGTGTTCAGGTCTGTCGTTAAAAGGGTCGCTAAATGAGCGAAGTGGGGAAACGACAGCCTTTTTAACAAATGGTGTTGGCAAAATTGGAAAAATATCTGCAAAAGACTCAAACAAGACCCACACCTCACTCCATACACAAAAACCAACTCAAGGTGGATCATGGACCTAGGACTAAAACCAAGGACTATAAACTTCAT